TCATAAATATTTTATTTAGAAACAGGGTCTTGTTGAGTTGCTCAAGGCCTCACTAAGTTGCTGAGGCTGGCTTTGAACTTGTGATCCTCCTGCCTCCACCTCCCAGGCTGCTGGAATTACAGAGCCACCTCACCTGGCTCCAAATTAATTTTTAAAATTGGGTCAAAATCTATTTGTCATCTAACATAAAGGACAGACTACTCAATAAAGTGTGCTGAAAAAGATGTCTGCTATAACATTATTGATAATACTGAAAGAACAAACAGGAAAAATGGAAATAAAATCAATCATTCCTATTTTTAATTTTGGGGACAATTTAGAGCAGCTACTATCAAGGCATGAGATTAACGATGGGAAGACCGTGAGAAAAGATGAGACAGGACTCGGCCCTCGTCATTTCCATTCCATATGAAAAATAGACACTGAAATAATTACTTTGTATATTTTCTTCCAGCAATTATGACAATATTCTATCCTAAGAACAAGAGGAAATAGTCAAATACATACTTTAATAACAGTGGAAAATGTTATTGTAAGAATAATACTTGGCGTACAGTGGTGCACACCATAATCCCAGTTTCTTGGGAGGCTTAGGCAGGAAGAGTGCAGGTTTGAGGCCAGCTGAAGCAATTTAGTTAGACCCTGGCTCAAAATTAAAAAATAAAAAGGGTTGGGAATGTAGCTCAGTGATGGAGCAACCTTGGGTTCAATCCCCAGTATCAAAAAAATTTTTTTGAAAAGAATAGTATACAATAAAAGCAGGGCAATTGTAAAAAGTCTATGATCTTATCAGTTTTCTTAAAAAGTATAGACGTCTCAATGGTTATAAAATCAATCTGTAAGAATAAAATGATTGGGAATGGTTAAGAAAAAATATGAAAGGAATTTCTGTTCTCAAATAGTAAAACATACTTCCAAGATACAATATTTAATTCAATTTAAAAAAAAAATCAATGAATATCAGTGTTTAGGACAAATAACTACACAAAAGTCCATTTCTGACCATTTGGTTTTTAAAATGTTTCAAAAGTAGCATTTTAAACCAATGAGAAAAGAACAAATTATGCGGCAACTGGTAGGTTAATTATCCGGAAAAAATAACCAAATTTATATCTTTACATCACATCATATATTTAGTGTTAAAATTACAAACCGTTAAACAAAATTTCTAATTTTTAAAAAAAAAAATCATTGGTTTGAGACTGTAGAGCACTGGTTTAGCATACACAGGTCCTGGGATTGATGTGCGTGCACGCGCGCACACACACACACACACAAAAACAAGTTATATATCCCATTTCATAAATATAGTTATCACAATTAAGTTAAATGGAGAGCAACCAAAGGGAAAAAAATATTGCAACATAAGCACCTACAACGTTGAAGTTCTTCATAAATGGTATTCTCTTCAAATCAATAAGAAAAAAAATTTGCAAAGGACATGAATATAGTTAATACAGAAAAAATATCAATAAACATTTAAAAATACTCAACTAGATTAACAATCACAGGAATGCAAATTTAAGATCAAAGTCCATGGTTACTAATCAGGTGAAGAATGACAGAAAAAGAAAAATGGCAGCAATGCCCAATAGGGAAACAGTGAGATCTACCCCGTTGGCCACTGTGTGCGTTATTTTCTTCCGCTGAGAAGGTAATTTGGCGGTATGTATCAAAAACCCTAAGGTCTACTGCACACCGGTAATCCCACTGATTTGGGAGGCTGAGGCAGGAGGATCACAGCTCAAGCCAGCCTGGGTAATTCAGTGAAACTCTTGCCAAAATTTAAAAAAAATAAAATAAAATAAAGGGACTGGAGATGTAGCTTGGTGGGTCTTGACCCCTGGGTTCAATCTCTGGTACTAAAGGAGATTTAGCTATATATAGCTAAAAATTGGGCTGCGGCTGTAGCTCAGTGGTAGAATGCTTGGTTCACACATGTGAGGCACTGGGTTCGATCCTTAGCACCACATAAAAAAATTAATAAAGATATTGTGTCCATATGTAACTGAAATGATTTTTTTTAAAAAGTATATATAGCTAAAAATTAAAGAATCAACATTTCACATAAAGATTTACATACAAGAATGTCCATCACGGTTTAATCTCTAACAACTGGAAAGTAAGTGTCCACAATATGAAACAGGCCAAAGGAACAGAACCGGATAGTGTAACAATATGGAACTCTACAGTGTAACCATGTAGCCAGGACAACAAAGCGCTGAAGCGTTTTTCTTTTTCTTTCTTTTTTTTTTTTTAATTATTTTTTTTTCTTTTTTGCGGCCCTGTGTGCTGAACCCAGGGTCTCACACATGCTAGGCAAGTGATTTACCACTGAGTTATATCCTCAGCCCTTTTTTAAAATTTTTCTTTTAGGAGAGAGTCTCACCAGTGCTGGCTTGACCTCTCCATCTTCCTACCTCCCAACACCGCCAGTTCCCAATGCATTTTTAATGAGAAAAGTTCACAAAGTAGTCTATGTAAAAGAAGAGGGAAGGAAGGAAAGTAAAGACAAAAAACCAGGATAAATTTTTTGTAGCGTGAGAGTTTGAAAAGATCTTAATACAATTAGTTATGCACAAATAAAGTTAGCAGTTATTCTCTGGCAAAATTAGAAAAGATTTTAATTATGTCTTTTAATTTTCTTTTTCTTTTTTTTTTTTTACAATCATTCAAATGAACATGTATTCCATTAATAATTGGGAAAATGTAATTTTAGAGAGATTTAGGGCCAGGGATGTAACTTGATGGTCTAGAGTGCTTGCCTAACATACGCAAGGCCCTGGCGGGGATCCCTAGCAGTACAGTAAATAGAGAAAATCTGAAGTATAGACACCATATTAACACAGGATAACGTGTGAATTTGGAGGCTAACTCTTTTCCCCCTTTTTTTACACTTACCTATGGTATACAAGAGAATAAATGCTCTTAAATCTTTCTAAAAGACCTAGCCCCAGTATAGCAACTCAAACCTGTCATCCCAGCAACTTGAGAGGCTCAGGAATAAGTATCTCAAGTTCTAAGCCAGCTTCGGTCACTTAGTGAGGTCCTGACCAACTTAGTGAGACCCCAGCTCAAAATTTAAAAATTTAAAATAAATTGAAAGGGCAGGGGATTGGGAAAAGAAAAAGAAAGACCTAGCACACTGACTTTCAAATTTTATCTCAAGTTGACTGATTAGAAGGGACGGGGTAGGGGTAGGAGTGTCCCACATGGTGAATACAGCCAAAGGCTTTGCAGATGGGGGAAGGGGACAGACAAAATGTCCTGGTCCTACAGCAAGATCCCAGACTTCTCACCTGCACCATGGACGTGGCCAAGAGCAGGAAACCATCAGCTCAGCGGACTCATTTGTAAATACCTTGTAATTCTTTCATTTTTAAGCAAGATAGCAGACATCTAGAGAGGAACGAATCTGTTCAAAGATACAGCAGTTAGGGGCTGGGGTGGGGATGTGGCTCAAGCGGTAGCGCGCTCGCCTGGCATGCGTGCGGCCCGGGTTCGATCCTCAGCACCACATACAAACAAAGATGTTGTGTCCGCCGAAAACTAAAAAAAATAAAATATTAAAATTCTAAAAAAAAAAAGATACAGCAGTTAGGAGCATCTGACCTTCTATCAAAGAGAGGAAAAAGGCAGAAGCCACTGCACACATAGGCTCAGACAGAGGCATTCACTCTTCCACTTGGCTTTGTCACCCAGAACATTGCAGATGGAGCACAGGTCTCAGCCCCACAGCGATCTGAGTACAGGCGTCAGCAAGACCAGCTCAAGACAACAGGGCTGCCCCCGGGGGATAAGCCTGTCCACAGAGTAGACAGGTAGACACACAGCCACCTGCTCATTCTGAGCTAGTTTCTTGGCTCAGAAGCCAGCAAGTTCTGCAGCCAGAGAACACGATGATCATGCTGGACTTCTACCCTCACCCACCTCAAAATCCAGGAGGCAAAGTTCCACTGAGGGGAGGCGGCCACAGAGGACACACTGCTGTTCCTGTAATTCAGTGTGGCCCGGCCAAAACCAGGGTCCTCTGCCCTTCTGTGCTTCCAATGTAATGTAGACAGCGATCAAACCACTAGATGCCCAGGATTTACAAGGTGACCAGAAAAAAAGTGCACTAAACACATTCACATCATCAGAACCGAAACCACAGAAATGCCATCCACCAGGACACGATCCGGGTGCTCTTGGTAAAGGGGACAACTGACTGAACAACCTCTAACGGGCCACTTACCTTCAATCTTGCAAGCTTCATACAAAAATTACACTTCTCACTTTACACATGAAAACACTGAACTTCAGAGAAAAGGAAAAGGCAGTTCAAAGTCACGGAACTATGAAGAGTTGGAATTCAAACTCCAAAGCTCATTCCTCCCAAGACATGAGGAGCAATCTTGTCCCCATTTCCACAAAGGGCTTCTTTCTGTCAAGCGGAACCCAGCCCTGTGGTGCCAGACACAGGTCAGCCCTCCTACCGCCCGCCCGGTGCACATCCAAGGATAGCAGACCCAGTAAACCAAAAGTACTCAACCCACACAGAGGACCATCAACCGTGGTCACAATAAATAGTATTAGCGGCCACAGACAATGGCACATCTGCTCCCTGAAGGTGCTATATAGTAATATCATCACATCTGGCCTCCTTTCTAACAATACAGTTGATGTTTATTTCTTTGAAACATGTTTCACTATGTTGTGAGGCTGCTCTCAACCTCCTGGGCTCCAGTGATTCTCCTGCCTCAGCCTCCCAAATAGCTGGGACTACATATGCCCAGCTTTTGATGTTTCCATATTTCAGATGAAGACTCAGAGGTTCATAGAGGCCTGAGAGCTCAGAAATGGAATCTGAACAGGTGTCCAACACCAAAGACTTCCTGAGCCCCACCCCACCGATTGGGACAACTAATAAAACCCAACAGGATCTTCACATCAACTCCCCATTGTTCTGGAGGGTGCCCCCACCCACAGGCTCCACCCTGGCCTAGGGCTCCAGTCACTACCTTGGTTGAGGTAGGTCAGGGTCTCTTCTTGGAGCTTCACTGCTGGGGACGTGGCGGCACACAACACATACTGCAAGGGTGGCAGCCGGGCCCCATTCTCGGGGGACAGCTGGGGCTCCTCCTGCTTGAAGATGGGTAGAGCCAGCACATCACTGCAACACACAGGAAGGCGGTGGTCAGGAGCAGGGCCCAGGGAGCCCGTCGTCAAAGACAAAGTTGGAGAGAGCGACCGAGACCCCGGGGACCAAAGGCCATTCAACAAGGCCCACTGCAGCCAGCTGGCTTGGATCTGGATCCCTCCTGTTACAAACCCTCTAGATGCTTTCAAATAGAGTAAACCAGGCTGGGGCAGCAGGTGGTGTGGTCTCAGGGATAGAGACCTTGCTTAGCATGTGTGAGGTCTTGGGTTTGAACCCCAACACCAAAAGACAAAAAAAAAAGAATAAACCAGTCTTGCATGATTCTCGTGTTACTTGATGGTTCTCAAGAAGATTTACTGAATCAAGTTGTGAAGGAGGTAAAAATATAAAGTTCCTATTATCTACAGAGAACCTCTAAGTGACAGAGGCCAGTAACAATGAAGTAACCTTTAGAAGCCATTTGGTTTCCATCCACAGGAGACTGCTCATCGTGTGCTTTTTGGATAAAAATCATCTGAACAACAACTTTTAGTTCAACTGTAATCAACTCTTCTATTTATCAGCCACTTCTCAGACCAGCATAGCCTAGACCCGGGGTTAAAATGAAAATAAAGAACCTGTTGGCCTCCCTCACCGAGGACAAGTCACCCCTCCCTCCCTTCTGAGAAGGGGACAACTGGCCCCTACCCAGTTTAAGGCTCACACTGATCTCTCAGAAATGCAAAAAGAGGAGAACCTTGGTTTTGACAGAGTTTCCTTATCCAAGTGAAAAATCTTGAGATGCTCAAAGATTCTCTTACTTCTAAACAAAACTCCCCAGGGCATTGAGAATGAGAGTCTCCTATCAGGGTGGGACTGAGGAACTTGTGTCTGGATTGCTTTCTTTCTTCCTTTCTTTTCTTTTCTTTTCTTTTTTTTTTTTTTGGTTGTTGTTGTTTATATTGTTTTTGTATTTTTTGTTTGTGTTGTATTTGGGGACAGGGTCTTGCTGTGTTGTCCAGGTGGGCCCCAAACAATCCTAGGATCTCTGACTCCCACCAAAGTAGCTGGAACTCCAGGTATGCACCCTCCAAGGAGTCAAAGAAATCCTCGAGAACATGAATGACCTGCAAGCAGGAGAGACTTGCTTAAGCCCTCTGAAGTATAAGCAGCACCAAAAAAGCAAGCATCCTGCCCTATCTTGATAACCCTCCTCCCTTCGTGGGTCCTGGGTTATGAATAAAATTAGCTGACCCCACTTCACTGCATAAACACAAACTCCCTGGTACAACCTGTTCCTTATACAATCTCATAAATGAGTGTCTCTGAAACACAAACCTAGCACACACCCCCAACCATGTCTAACCAATTCTCGGAAAGAAAAGGCTGGCTTTGGGCACACCTGGGAAATCTTTCCTTCAAAGGGCTTCCCTGCCACCATCTGCTGCCCAAAAAGGGAAAGCACGGGGCTGACCCGACTTCTCCCACTACTCGCCTTCCTCTTTCCAGCCCAGGAGGTTCTCTAGGAACATGGGAGAAGCAGGCAGGCTTGCTCACCTAGAGATTGCATCATTTCATGTTTGCCCAGACCATGTTAAGTTAATAATCCATACACTGCTGCCTTTAAATTTGGAGGGAAAAAAAAGGGTGTGTGTGGGGGTTGGGGGGGGGGGTTGCAAAGAACCATCATTCAACAGTAACTTGTTTCAAACCTGGCATCCTTATTTGCCAAGGAATAAAAGTCACCAGAACATCAAACAGAAAGGGAGAAGAAGTAAAGGCCACTACTGTCAAGGTCAGACTTTTGCAGATTTTGCAGAATGAGGAGACAACAAACCAAAGATAAAAATACTCCCCACCCCCACCCCCCAAAAAGGAAAAGGACAAGACCCTCTCTCTGGAGTAGGGAGAACAGGGACATGTGCACTGACCCCACTACCTTGGCCTTCATTGAGGTCAGCCTTTATGAAGGCAAAACCCCTAGCAAGAAATAAAATTCTAGGGCTGGGGTTGTGGCTCAGCGGTGGAGCGCTCGCCTAGCATGTGCGAAGCCCTGGATTCAATCCTCAGCACCATAGAAAAATAAATAAAATGAAGGTACTCTGTCCAACTACAACTAAAAACTAAATATTAAAAATAAGAAGGCTGGGATTGTGGCTCAGCGGTAGAGCGCTCTTGCCTAGCACGGGCAGGACCCAGGTTCGATCCTCAACACCACATAAAAATAAAGGCATTGTGTTGTGTCCATCTACACCTAAAAATATAATAAATGTTTAAAAAATAAGAAATAAAATTCTATCTATGTATTTATTTAGCAGTACTGGGGATTGAACCCAAGAGTGTTCTACCACTGAGCTACATCCCCAGTCATTTTTATTTTTATTTATTTATTTATTTATTTAGAGACAAGGTCTTGCTAAATTGCTGAGGCTGGCCTCAAACTTACTATCCTGGGCTCCCCAGTAATTGGAATTATAGGCATGCACCACCACACCCAGCAAGAAGTGAAATTTTGAAGCCAGGTGTGGTGGCCTACACCTGTAATCACAATGACTCCCAGCGACTGAGAGACTGAAGCAAGAGGGATCTCAAGTCTGAGGTCAGACTCGGCAACTTCACAAAGCCCTCAGTAACTTAGTGAGACCCTGTCTCAAAATAAAATAAGTAAGTAAATAAATAAATAGGGAAGAGGATGGAACTCAGTGAGATAAAGCACCCTGGGTTTAAATCCCTAGAACCCCCCCCCCAAAAAAAAGAGGTGGAATTTTGAAAAAGACAGGGCTGGGGCTGGGGATGTGGCTCAAGTGGTAGCGCGCTCGCCTGGCATGCGTGCTGCCAGGTTCGATCCTCAGCACCACATACAAAGATGTTGTGTCCGCTGATAATTAAAAATAAATATTAAAAAAATTCTCTCTCAAAAAAAATCTTTAAAAAAGAAAAAGACAGGGCTGGGGGTGTAACTCAATGGCAGAGTGCCAGACTAGCATGTGATCGATCCCCCAGCACCAAGTATGGACCTTCTTCATCTATGGTTTCCCAAAATAACCCCCCCAAATAGTACGGTTTTTTTATGCCCCCGCCCCCCCCACCCCCATGCACAGTCTGGGGCCTTGCACTTGCTAGACAAGCACTATACAACAGAGGTACATCCCCAGCCCCCCAGGCTTTATGGCACCTTTCACCCCAACTTTTGCCTTCCTCCCTTCATGCAATAACCAAAACCTGCAAACTTCCATTATGAGTAGCAGATGTTGGGAAAATTGTACTCTCATTTCTAGAATTACTACCTAATAGGATGATATTTCAGGATATTTCAGAAGTTTTAAGTACACATTATCTTCAACTCAAGGTCACCTTCAAACTCATTTTGAAGATATGACAAAATACTTAACGGCCACAAACCAAAATTTAGACAAAACTACCATGAAAACAGCAATGTGCAAATGGTAAAGACATACTCTGTTGTCGCACTTTTCATAAGGGAACAGCCACTTAATCTCCTGCAGGGAATTAACATCCTCCCAAGTGGGCTCCACCACTGCCCAGAGCAGCTTCCCTCGGGTGACATGGCCACAGTCTGCTGGCAGGCAGGCAGTCCCTAAGACCCTAGATTTTTTTTTTAATCATCCACTACTCTGAATAAAAACACCGGATACACCAGTCAAATCCAAGGGTTCCTCTGCTCTCCGGCAGGGGAATGTCTTCAGGGAGAACGACTAGACAAATACCTATCAGAAGCTGGAATTTCAAATAACCTGTGGTGGCAAAACTGGGCAGGAACTTCTGGGGGCCCAAACAAGCGCAGAAGGTGGGTAGCTCGTTAAGTGGCTGAGCCGCCTTCCGCCTCGCAGTTCACTTTTCCTGAGCCCACCTCAAATGCCCTTTGGGTTAAATTAGGCACATTTAATAAACTGTGACTAGGATGGAAATAAAGACAGGTTAAAGCTGGTTCCGGCGAGTTCAGAAAGTAAAATGACTGCCCATTAGTACCCGGCCAGCTGCACAACATGGAAAAAACGATCTTCCAGGAACTGAAGCAAACGGGGGTCCTACTTCCTAAAAGGTGTGTGTGTGGGGGGGGGGGAGTGGGTGTTGCAGAGTACTTTGCAAAGCGGGCAGGACTTACTTTTCCCTTTGAAGAGCACTAGACAAATCCCTGCAGAAGAAGAAAGATTTCCATCAAGGGCAATAAACGCTCGGGCTTCAGGCAAAGACCACCTAGAGGAGGGGGGACAGCCAGCCCCTTCCGAACCCGCCCGCCCGACGGTCCACCAGGGGCTAGCGAGGCCCGACGAAGGGCACTGCGGAAAGCGCAAAACTCAGAGAGGGATCCCAGTGGAGAGGGGCAAAGAGCAGGGGATTAACTTCCCGGGGGAGGCTCCGGATGGAAGAAGTTTCCTCTGCTACTCTCACCCGAGCGGGAAGAGGACAGATGTGCGAGGTGGGATAGATCCCGGGAGGCTGGGGCCCGTAGGTGCCCCCGGTACCCGCAAGGGGTCGGCACGGAGGGGCCCTCGCCGGGATCCGACTCGGTGCGCCCGCCTCGCCAAGCCCCCAACTCCGCGCGTCGGGTCCCGCCGGGATCGGTCAGTCTGTCCCTTGGGGACACTGGGCGGGGCTCTCCCTTCCTTCCCACAGGACCCACAGGAGGATGCCAGGACCTGGTAAGCGCGCTCCCTTCCCTTCCCTGGACGTCTTGGCCGCGCCGGGCGCACCGCTCGACAGAGCCCCAGGGCTGTGGCCGTCGCGGCACGCGGGCGACGCGAGGCCCTTACCGCAGGTAGCTGCCGGAGTTGTGCTGGTTGTAGTGCTCGGGCTGCGTGTGCCAGAACAGCATGGCTGGAGCTCCGAGCGCGCCCACGTAGGCGCGGCAGCCAACGGAGACGCGGGCGGCGCCGACCTCTCAGCCACCTGAAAGCTGCGCTAGGAACCTGAGGTGGCCCTCGGCCCGGATCATTTATGGGCGGCCCGGGGGCGGGGCAGCGACCGGACCGTCCCCTAGCCGCCGGGAGGGCGGCTCCCCAGTCGCAGGCGCGCCTCACCCGGGAGCTAGCGCCCCTCCAGGGAGCCGCGAGCCAGGGCTGAGCCCGGCCCCCACGGGTGGGGCTCAGGTGACCTTAGCTGCAGCCCACCTGCGCTAGGCACCTCTGGGCTTTCCGATTCTGACTTCTCGCTCTGGGTGGAACTCTAGAGCTGCTTGGTGGATTGGAAGAAGCTCAAATGTCGGGGACCCTGGCCCAGGCACTCTGGGTCCCCTTTTGGGGCTCTTGGTTTTGGGGTTTTTTTTTTTTGTTTTTTTGGATCACCATTCAGAGTCTGAAATCATGACCTTGTAAATTTTTACTTGTGTATGGGTTGGTCTGTCCTCCCTACAGTGGAAACTCCAAGAGGGCAGGGCCTGCGTTCTGTCACTGCCCCAGTCGTACCTAGAACACAGTGCTGGGGACAAAGTTAAGGGCTCAGTAAATACTCAAGAAGGCTTCCTGCAGGAAGTGGCATTTGTGAGCATCTGGAGAAAGAGTGGCTCCAGGCAGAGGCAGCAGTAAGAGACAGGGCCTAGAGGCAGACCTACTTTGGCGTGGGTGTCCTGGGTGACCAAGGGCAAAGAGGAAGGTAGGATAGTGGGGAGGAGGCGCAAGAAGCTGGGGTGGTTTTTTTTTTCTTCTTCTTCTTCTTCTTCTTCTTCTTTCTTTTTTCTTATCTCCCTCCCCTTCTCTTCATTCCCCTTCCCTGGAGCTTTCATTCTATGTGTGATTTGGGTAGAGGAGTTGCATTTATGATTTGCCTTTTGGAAAGACCAGTCTGGTGGGAGTGTGTACAGTGGATAGTGGGGGTCAGTTAGGAAGGAGTGGAGTTCTATGGAGCCAGGACTCACACCTAAGTGACATCTTGTCTCGTGGCACTGTGCCTGGCACAGAAGAGGGAAACATTCTGTCCCTGGGTATTAATCAAATAAAGTTCCTTGAAGACCTTAACCCAGCGCTCACAGCTCACAGGGAAACAGAAATGTTTCCCCAGCCGTACATCTACATCATCGTCGTGCCCTCAGCCACTGCCCCACTAGCATTGGTGCAGATAATTAGAGTGGCCTCCTCGCAAGGTCACTCCCCTCTGGGTGGTCCACATTCCAATAACCCTCACACCCATCTCTGCACCAATGGAGACAATGCTGATGGATTGTTTTGGTCCCAGGACTCCCTGTGGAGACGATTGAAGCCCTCCCTAGGACCTGCCTTCTGCTCAAGGTCTTTCCCCGTCTCTGGCCTAGCGGTGAACCCTAAGGGAACTCCCCAATTAACCTCCTGAACACTAGGTTCTCCACCAGGGCCCAGGACAAGCATGTCCTTTCAACAGAAGGTACCCTGCAATAATTACTGGATTTATTTATTCTTTTCATTCTAAGAGTCTGGGGGGAAGTAGAGACCATACTGGGAACATTGAAGGGACTTTGTCTCCAGGGATGAGTAACTGGAGGTTAATCCGTGCAGTGGGGACGAAGGAAGGGTCTCCAGTTCCAAGGTCCAGAAGAAGGGAATGGAACACGAAAGGAAACTGATGATAAGGGCTCAGACCTGGGTTTACCACTCAGCTCTAGCAGAATGCGTGACCCTGTGCAGGAAGATCCATGCTGCTTCTATTTCTCTCCCCTCTCCCAACTGGCCTGGCCCATGACTTGCTTTGACCTAGAATGCTGCAGAAGACTGTTCCAGACTCAGTCCAGCCCCTAAGATGCCAGGAAGCTTCTCTTGGCTGGCGGGAGCTCGGAACCACCACATGGAGTTCCAATGTCCCGTCCCGTTGGGGATGGATACCCGGCCAGCCTCCTATCCCTATGCAACCCCCCAGCAAAGTCAGTCTGCAGTGTTCCAAGGGCTCATTCCAACACACCTATGAAATTGACCCAAGGCCTCCCCAAATGCAGGCTGGAGAGCAAATACATGACTGTGACTTTAACGCACCAAAGTGCCGGATGGTTGGTTCTATACGGCGAAATGGTATAGTACTGACCCCTCTGAACCACTGGTAAAATGAAGGTGAGGATGCCGAATATCATGGTAGTGACGAAGCCGTCGGCTCTTATTATCCAGGTAGGACTCTCCCTGCATATTTCGCATGACTGCCCGCTTCCGACTGCCCGCCTTCCTTTCGGTTTTTACACCTGAGGGTAGAGTTTGGTGAAGCCTGCAGAGACAGCATTTGAGTCCTGCTGTGGGAATAATGATGGGTATTCCTGCCTGAGATTATTCAGTGTTTGGGTACAATTAGGCCTAGTCTGACCCTGAGCTTTCCCTTAGGTGAAGAGAAGACAGACCTGCAGAAGGTGGCCCACCAGTTCCTCTCTCTGTTTTGTGAAGGCCCCACCCATTTACTTATGGTAGGAATGTTGGCTCTTCCTTGATGCCAAGCAGGTCCAGTTTGCTATAATCTGCCTGAGTTTGAGAAATGGGCACAGGTGAGGAAGCTGAGGCTCGGGAGGCTGAGAGCCACGGCTGGCGTTTGAGGCCATGCCTGTAGATTCAGGGCCAGTGCTCTCTGGCTACCGTCCATTCCTGTCCTAAGGCCTGCCTTCCTTTCCTCACCCGCCTGGCAAACTTGAGATCAGATGTGTGACCGAAACCAAGGATCCGCCAGCCTGGGCCCTTCTGAAGGAAGCACAAGGTTCCTGTGGAGTCCGAAGGGGCCCCTCTCTAGGCAGCTCAGTGGGAACTCCCAGCAGCATTTGAAGATCACCATGAAGATGATGACACTTCCTGGAGTTGTTGGGAGGACAAAGGGCGTACAGAGCACATACACATGCTCACCCAAGCCCTCTCCAGAGCACCCTTCAGACTAGGAGTTGCGCATCACCAATCTCATTTCTTCTCATTTCTCTGTGTGTTTTTTTTGAGAGAGAGAGAGAGAAGAGAGAGAAAAATTTTAATATTTATTTTTTAGTTTTCGGCGGACACACATCTTTGTTTGTATGTGGTGCTGAGGATCCAACCCTTGCCGCACGCATGCCAGGCGAGCGTGCTGCTACCGCTTGAGCCACATCCCCAGCCCTCTCTGTGTGTTTATGCTGGGGATAGAACCCAGGATCTTGAGCATGCTAGTTAAGCACCCTACCGCTAAGCCATAGCCCTTTTTATTTTGAGACAGGATCTTCTTAAGTTGCTGAGGCTGACCTCTAACTTATTTATGTTTCTCCGGCCTCAGCCTCCTGAGTAGCTGGGATTTCAGGTTGTGTATCATGGCCCCGCTAATTATTTCTTGAGTGTTCATCAAAAACCTTAATGTAATGGTTACAATAACATTCTGCTGCAAGTAACAGAAGCCCCCGGATAAAAATGTCTTAAACAACATAGAGACTTATTTCCCCTCTCAAGTTCTAGCAATCTAGAGTTAACACTGCCCAACATGGTATTCGCTTGCCGCAGACGGCCATTGTGCCACTTGAAATATGACTGATATGACTGATCTCAATCAAGATGTGCTGGAGGGGCTGGGGTTTTGGCTCAGCGGTAGAGCACTCACTCTCAGCACCACATATAAATAAATGAAATAAAGGTAGTGTGTCCAGCTAAAAAAATAAACAAACGTCTAAAAAAAAAATGATGTGCTAGAAATGTAAAATATGCACCAAGATCAAAGACCTTACCTAAAAAAAAAAAGCGAGCTGGGGTTGTGGCTCAGTGGTTCAGTGCTTGGCTGGCCTGTGTGAGGCACTGGGTTCAATTCTCAGCATCACATATAAATAAATAAATTAAATAAAGGTTCATTGACTATATATATTATATATACATATATTGCACAATATGACCTATCAATCATTTTTATCCTGCTCATATGATGAATGTTCAATTTTTTTAATGTATGGGCTAAATATATTATGGAAATTAATTTCATCTGACTAGCTTTACTGGCTTGCTTTTATAGCTTACACTTTAATCTTACTGGATGGAACTGGCTAAAGGATCAACTGTCAACCAAAGATGACTTTGCCCCCTACCCTCAGGAGAAGTTTTTGTTGTCACAACTTTGGGGTGGGTAGGATGTACAGACTAGGAAAGTTGCTGAGCACCCCTACAAGGCACAGGACACTCCCAACAGTGAAGGATCCTCCAACATAAGCTGTCAGGAGTGCTGAGAAGCACTGGTCTAGAGGTAATCTGTCCATGCTGGTTCTTTGCTCCATATATGATACCATTTACAAGGTATGGACACAGTGGCTGCTGGGGCGCCAGAGGTTCTGACACCATTCCCACCAGCCACAAAGGAGCAGGGCAGGATAAAGGTGCACCTTCTCTCTTCCAAGAAGATCTACAGACCACTTCTGTTTAGTTCCCATGGATTTGAATGTAGTCCCCTTGATACATGGGAGGCTGGGACTTTGTATTTTTAAAAGTCGGGGGGCTTCTTACTGAGGAAGACAGGAGAGTGGATCCAAGGGGAAGAGCACCTGGCAACTGTGCCAGAAGCAACCGTGGGGGAAGGTTATTCTCATGTTACAGATGAAGAAACTGAGGCACAAGAGGAGTTGCCAAGAAGCAGGGAACAGGAGAGCCAAGTGCAAGTTGAGGTTTCCTGGCTCCTGGTGTCTCCACCCTGCACACGGGCCTCAACCCCCTCTGTGTCCCCTGAATCCCATTTGCCAGTGGCCCGGATGTCTCTCTGATGCGGTTTATCTTCCTGCAAGGTCCAAGTTTCTCCATCAAGAACTTCACTAGCTTCTCTGGAGGGGAAGAGTGACTTTTCCGAGCTGTTAATTCTAATCCAGATCAAGCTTGGTGGGTACCTAATAGTACTGCACCCTGGGCGCCGTGATGCCTGACTAAGATCCCAGCCACTGGGGAGGCTGAGGCAGGAGGATGGCAAGTTCAAGGCTAGCCTGGAGAGCTTAGGGAGAGTATGTCTCCAAAAACTAAAACAAACGAAAAGGACGGGGAATGTAGCTCCGT